GGGGGCGCGAGATATTGTTTCCAGGTTGCTTTTTTCACGCGTCAAGAAAAAAACGTGATAAGTTCTTAGAGGTTCAAGACCTTCCCAACACGCTTGGCATTTTGCTTTTCCTTCGCTTGTGAATTTCCCCACATATTTTCGGCGCACGACGGTGGTGGTGGCGACAATGAACCACACTCGAGAGGAAGCATTGTTCTCTGCTGAATTTTTAGTCCACGTGGGCGAGTCTGAAGTGAAAGAGGAGTGCCAGTAGTGTGCGTTGGTGGGGATGTGTATATTTTCATTGATTTTATTGTTTCTATGTTGCCATGATCTCTTGTTCACACCGAGACCAAGTTTTATGAGTTCGTGAGTACGTAGTCCACAAGAGGAGGAGATGAACATTCAAGTACATAATTTCGAGGTTGTATTACCGATCTACGTAGACTACTTTGGTGCGTGGGGTCACACCGGCGTTGGGGCTTTCTAGAGAGATGGAAATTTTATTTGTTGGTTTGTTGAAATGTCGCTGGACGTGTACTTTTGTCTTTCTGCTTGGGCGGTGGTACCAAGGTTTTCGGTGTGTTTGTTTTGCTGTTATTATGAACGTTCTGTCTATTGCCTCAGGTCTTGTTGATCGTACTTGTTATTCTGCGACACCAGTAGCAGGATGGATGCATGGATGGGCGGGTGCGTGGTTTGCATGTGCGTTAACTCAGAAAAAGGGAGGATCATAGGTGGCCACCCTCGACTCAGATCTTAACGGTTCGCGACTGGCGAAAACAAATCAAAAGTTGTGGTTTTTTGTACAGGTCGGCGAGAAGGCCAGTCGTTGTTGTAGTTGATGTTGCGGTATCTTCAAGCATTTCAGACCCAGCCAGGCGCAAGAACGGCACAAAGAAGATGGCTGTTTCGTGGTTGTCTTGGTGTTAGAGTGTGAGCCCCTCCCAGGAGAGAAGAAATAACGGAGTCGGTGATTTTTCTTTGTTTTCAGGCGTGTTTTTGCTCGAACGTCCAACGTGTTGCTCGTCGGCGTGTTGGAGAGCTGTTACCGCTGTTTGAGTCTGTTGTTTTGTGTTCGTGTGATTTGATTGCTGTCGGCGTGTTGGCGACAACCGTTGGGATCGCGGTGTACAACTGCTGCTGCTGCCGTGTTGTTACGCTTGGTCGAACGGGGGAGAGTGAAAAAAGCCCCCGCCTCCCCCTTGGGCACAAGCCAGGATAAGATAGTTTCCACGGGGGCGCGTGAATATGGGTCGGCCGATGGGGTGCCCCCTGTGTACGTACGTTGGGGAATGCTGGCTGGGGAGAGAGGAGAGTTGGGTGTTGATGGTCGTACGATTCATCTTTTTTTTCGCTGGTGGCCCATATGTCTTTGTTATCCCCGCGTGGAGTCTTTTCTTGCATGGGAATAGTGAGTGGCGTGCCCACGGGCGGTGGATTGTGGTTCTAGCGGGGGTGGCAGTCGTTGTTGGTTGCGAACGAAAGACACGCGACGTGCCCCGTCATAGAACAGACTTAACCTGTAGTTGTGTACGGTTGGGTGCCTGAAAAAGATCCTAACACGTTAAATTGCGCACACGTTTTCGTCGTGTGCTGCATGCATATGAGAAATGGCCCACAACAGGTAGGATTACTTACGTTTCAGCAGCTGCAGCAGCAGCAGCAGCAGCAGCAGCAGCTTCGACGTCTTACACACGAAAAAAAAAAAGGTTGCGTGGAAAAATAGTCGTGGCAACGTGTGCATACGAGCAAGCAAGCGCCTGTCTGTCTACCTGTTATGTCTTGTCTTGCCCGAACGGAGGCTGCTGCTCGATTTTTATTGATTTACATGTGTGGATGACGACGGTTGCCGTTGCTTGTTGAGACATGACACACACGCCCTCCCTTTCTTTTGGAGTCCTTTTTGGGGGGGGCAGGTGCTACGGAGCGCTCGTTGGCTTGGCCTGCGTTCTCGCGCCCTTTGTTTGCTTGGTGTTTGTATACTATCTATTTGCATCGATCGCGCTAGCCGGCTGGCCAAAACCCAGTGCCGCAAAAAACGGAAACTGATTCTGAAGGCCGTGACCCGGGGCTAGGCTAGGGTATTGCGAGGTGTGTTCGTGTGAAGGGATGATGGCAGTGGCAGCACCATGTGTGGTGATGTACAGCGCGGGTCGGCCGCTCAATCCATGAAGTAGCTGCCGTAGAGGAAGGCGGAAAAGTTGACCGAGAAGCAACACAAGAGATGAGACGCGGACAAACGAAAGTTCGGCTGAAAAATGATGTTTTAGCAGAAGACTTTTTGCCTATACTACTATCTTATCTGGGTCCCAGCAAGCTCGGCGAGCGGGGGGGGGGGGGG